TTTATAATAGTTATAACAAGTTATCTCTGAATAATAACAATCTTGGATACCAACAATTTACCTTGGTTTTGTTTCGTGGCCAGTTGAGACAAATAGGAAAATAACAGAAACTACAAAAACTTTTATGAATCAAATCGTTTTGATGTAATAATGAATTGATGGACTGACCGTAGAATATCCATATTCGTCTGATGTGATACTGAGTTATTACCATTTAGCACATCCCGCAGGGAGAAACCTTTTACATAGAAATAAGATCCGTATCGAATGCTATCATATTTAGGACAGTATAAAAAATAGTGGAATACATCCTCATAATCTTGTGAGCAGGAACAAGAAGCATTATCAGAATATTATGGTTGTTCGTAGAAGGTTTGGTTTTGCGTGAAAATTGGATAGTTCCAGTTTTGTTTGGATTAAATTTTACTTGCCAGGTTTCCGCCTATTTATATATTCTGTCTAAATCTGAGTTAAGAGTAAACGCACTCGTATGGGGATCATCGATTATGACATAGAGTGCTGTGTCGTTTGCGAAAAGACGTATATTACTTTCGATTCCATCAACTATGTCGTTTATATGTACTAAGAATAAAAGGGGTCCAAGGACTGATTGTCCAATGATCAATTGTCAGAGAAGTTTGAAATATCATTTATCGTTGCACCAGTCACGATAAAATATATAGGGAAACTAATTATAGCACACTGAAAGAAAGACGACATCGCTCTAAACTCATAACTTTCTATAAAATGTATCATCGTCTGACTCCTGATTATCTAAACGACCTTGTACCAGGTAAATGATTTGAACAAAGCAACTATAATCTTAGAAATACTACTTCCATTCAAACTATTAATTGTAGAACGCAAAGGTATTTCTCAATCATTTTTACCGAGCGCGATTATGTCGTGGAATTTATTGCCCAATGGAGCTGTTAACGCTGTTTCCCTGAATCAATTTAAAACCATGATAATCACAACAGACACTCACAACTACTTTGATTTGAATTTTGGGACTAGATTTTGTCAAATCATTCATTGTCGCCTCAAGCTCGGCTGTAGTGATCTAAACGCAGACAGATCTAATCGACATATATCGGACACACCCAGGTGCTCATGTGGTTATTATAACGAAGACGTTATTCACTACCTTTTTACATGTCGGAACTATCAAAATTTAAGAACAACTGTGTATTTTTATATTCATGGATACGATGTGAAAACTACTTTATACGGTAACGGCGCATTGAATAACTCAACTAATCGTGACATTCTTAACTCATTACACCAGTTCATTTCTAAAAGTAACCGCTTCCAGTGATTATCCCATCAACATCTATATTCAATGTAAGAATATATATAACGTGATTTTCTGCGGCAGTCCATTTCGTTGCTAGGCATAACCAACACCACAACGACTATATTTGGTACTCAATCATATATCTGTTATTGTATTATTCCTTTGTTGTCAAATTATTTCAATTATGTATCCAGCTATTTGAACCATGTACTGGAGCGGCGTTTATATAAGCCACTGCTTGTTCGCCTATCCTGGTTTCTACTTTGGCGAAATAAAAATAATATTATGTTTAAACCACTGATCCTTTAGGGCACTCCGGCTATTATCGGTTTTAATTCTGATTTGTAACCTTGAATAACTACTCTTTGCATTCTATTTTGCAAATAACTTTCAAACCATTTCAGTAACTTCCCATCTATCCCACATGATTTTAGTTTATGGATAATCTCTTTGTGCCAAACTTTATCAAATGCCTTGCTTATATCGCAGAATACAGCTCTGACGTCTTTCCCGTTATCTATAGCTTTGGCAATAATGCGTGAGTTGGTAAGCTGTTGAATCTCCTGGCATGAATCCAAATTGCAAATTTGAGAGGCAATTGTTATCTCTCACGAAGTTAAAGACATATCTAAATATACATTTTTCAAAGACCTTGGATAAACAAGATGTTAAGTCAACTGGTCTATAGTTAGAACAATCGTTAATATTACCTTTCTTGTGGATTGGTATGACTGATGATTCTTTCCATATGTCTGGGAAAACTGATGTTTGAAGCGACTTGTTAAAGAGGTTAGTTAATGTTGGTGACAAGGAGGAGGATACCAAACGTAGGAAGCGGTTTCCAATACCATCTGGTCCAGTCGCTTTGGTAATGTTTAACGATGATAGAACATCTTCAACATCCTGCGTTATAAGATATAAATCACTGATATATATACTATTATTGTTGAAGGTCATATTTGGAAGATCCTTATTAGGGTCAGAGAATTGTTGCCTGGTCAATAAAGTAATTATTTAAAACGTTTGCTATTGATTCTGGTTCTTGGTAGACTTCGTTATTGTGGGTAATAGGAGGAAAGAAGGTACTTTCAGATTTTTTGTTCATAATAGTTTTAACTAAACGCCACCATAGTTTAGTGGTATGATTATTGTTTATTCGAGTGTCTAATTTTGTTATATAATTTTTTCTTGGCTTTTCTTACTGCAGAAGTCACTTGATTTCTTAGTGATCTAAAAGTAGCCCAGTCATTTCCACCGTTTTTGTTTCGCGATTTTATGTTGTCGATTTCGTTTCGGCATGAGTTTTTTAATTGTTTTATTCATTCAAAATCAGTAGATACAAATATACAAAGTACATGATGCAACAAAATTTGTACACAATAAAACCGAAATTCATATGAGTTGGCATTACACATATTGGAATCTTCAGTAGTATTAAGCTGGGAATGTGTGCAATAGAGATGACCATTTTCTGTCAAATTGTAATATGTTTTGATTTTTATTGGCAATAAACTTTTCTGTCTTGAAAATATCACTCAATATTTTTACAAAGGTATCCAGTGATAACTTCTTTTTTTAATACTTGATACATGGATGTATTTTTTACTGGCAAGAAGTATGTGGTTCATAAGGTCGTTATTATTTCCGCCAATTAAGACTGTATATTATGTCATGGTAAAATTTTCTGATGATTTATCTTCAATATATTCTTTCAGTTTCAACCAGAACGTTTTCACACATTGACATTCCCAATAAACATGTATCAAATTTTACAAGATGAGCAAAGTTCATCATCTACTAATTTCATTCTCAATAATTCTTTTTGTGTGTAGACAATATTGTGGATAAATTTACACTGGAAGTCAATCAATTTAGTATGTTTTGTACATCTTCTATATTTTTTGAAAATATCTTGCCATGGAATTGCAATACCAAAGATCTTTTGCCATTTTTTTTGAAGGTGGGTTTTCAGTACTTATAAGTTTATCATAGAAATATCTGGATCTCTTTGGTGCTGAAAGTAAACCTATCAGTGATGTGTTAAGATAATGATTATGAACCAACAATAAATTATTTCTTATAGTATCTTTCCATTTTTGGGGTATATTTGAAAGAACCTGATAATAGTCAAGTTTGCTTAAGTTCACTAAATGACAAAATACCTTGATCATTACACAAGTCTATTATAGAGTGAATACCTTTGAGATGCCAATGTCTTATAATAAAATTACTATTTTGGAATTGATGATTGAACCAAAGGGGTTCGGATAAGATTTGATCAATATCTGTAAAATCAGTTTTATGTGTTTTATAAAATATTCCCCATGCAGCCAATACATCTTTCCAATAGGGATTCATAATATTGACATAATTTTCAATATTGGCTCCAAGCAGAAATATATCTTTGAATGGAAAGATACTAGGGCTAGTACTGCCTTTATTTTGAAGATATTTATATAAAACTGACAGTTTTAAAGAGTTTATGAATACCTGTACATTAACCATTCTGAGTCCCCCTTCTTCATATTTTCTAATAAGTGTCGTTCGCTTTATCGTATCCCGCTTATCATTCCAGATGAATTTATAAAATATATTGTTTAATTTGTCAATGAATTCCTTTGGAGGATTTGGGAGTGAAGTGACTATATGCACCAATGATGAAAGTGCTAAAGTTTTAGTAACAGTTATTTTCCCTATTAATGTCGACTTTCTTTTCTTCCAATTCCCCAGAGTTCTATTAATAATTTCTAGTCTTTTTCTTGTATTAATTACCCAAAGGTTATTTAAATTGAATTAAGCCTTATTCCGAGAATATCAAAATCCCCATTATGCCAATCAAGCTTAAGATCCTGGCATAAAATCATGTAATTACCTGTCATTGAGCCTATCCACACTGCTTTAGTTTTATATATATTTATTCTTAAACCAGACATTTTGTAGAAATTATTGAGAGTGTTTGCGCATGGGTTTGCGAATGTTATTATTCATCCAAGGAGTATCTTTACATCTTATTGTAACACTTTTGTTTGGCATATTGGAATCGCAGATATGAGATAAGGTTTTTACAAAAGCACATTTATGTCAGGTGATGATAGTACGTTTCCCCAATCAGTATTATCAACGTGGGAGCAGATATTGTCTTTGTTTACCAAGGTGTAATCATAAATTTTTCTCAGATATGTTTTCGTTGACTTCATACATTCGTTTATTGTTACGGATACTGGGCAATGATCGCTGCAAAGGGGTTCTAAAATATTTGTCTCTTTCACCATATCGAGACGGGAAACAAATTCACATATCTTTTTATTTGTAAATTGGATATTTAAAGGCTTCTTAAATTTGAAAAATAATATCGCAATACATACCACTGCTCAGGGGTAACGTAAACATGGTAATTATTAAATTGTCTTTTTTGACGGCATACATTTACAAAATTTCAAACATGAGTTGGACATGTGGTGGCAAAATGAATTCTCGTCGTTGAACCAATTTAGTTTTACACAAATTAGAAAATAAGGTTCCATATCTTTCACAAAGTAGATTTATTCCATAAAATGTATGATTTAAACGATATTTATTGTTCAATAGAGCATGTGCATATAATATATTAACAAAATAGAGTGGATTGGCAAACAAGCCTGATGCTTATATCAATGCCTTTCCACATGGTGCAGAATATACAATGATGGAACACTACATATTACAATATATTAAGACAAATATACACGACAAACATAAAACATAAATTCTAGATCATGGAAGATCAATTTTAAATACGAAAAGATAGTAGATGTTAGATATGCGGAATCAAGTGAAATATTACAAATCTTGTTAACGTGCACTTATTTTGGTGAAATAATAACTTAGGTGGCGACAGGGAAAGGTGTCTTCTTATTCAATTTTAAAGATTAATCATCGCAAGTAGACTTATTCCATAACATTTACCGATCAAGTAGATTTTATGCCCGCACATCTATGACAATGTGAAAGAAATGAAAAGTACATCAATAAGAATTTATGGATGGTTATCTTTGAAAACGTAGATTATATTATTCTATTAATTAATTAATTAATTCTATCCAGTGATTGCCACAGTATGAGATACGATGTGATTATAGGTCACTATTAAATGGTGATGATACCAGGTATTCGCGAAAAATAGAGCGGATAAACAATATACAAATTTATGTTTAAGACATCTTGAAATATACATATACGGGCATCACGATGTCGGAAACACCAAACGTTTACTTTGTCAAGGAACTTATCTCCGCTGACTGGAGCAGTAGCATACAATCTAGCTTTCGCTGTTTATTGAGTGCCCTCTTGCACACCCGAAACAGTCCCTCAAGGTCATCCGTAGCTCCATGTTTGTAAGGATGCAGGTGATCACATTCACACAGGGGCGGATACGAAATAGGTGAAAAGCTGCCAACGTTACTCGCGGTTTGGATGCCGAGGGCACAATGTTGATCAGGGAGTTTAACACACCGGGAATTACATAGAAGAAGAGAATCTCCATGAAAACTACCAGCATCATCTTGAAGACGACGTCATCTCTCTTTTTGGAGGATGTAGACGGGGCACCCATGTTGGTTTGGTGTTGAATTGAATGCACTTCCACCCGTTGACGTGACTTCTTCGTGAAGAGGTAGATTTTGACGTAGCAGAAGACGACGGTGAAGATGAGGGGGAGGTACAGGCAACACACCAGGATGTAGGTGAGGGAGATGTTTGTGTATGCACATGAATATCTCTGGGGGTCGTAGGTAACAGAACCTCCAAATCCTGCGCAGAAGGCGACAGGAGTCACCCACAGACAAATGGACACGCTCAGTAACCACTTCCTCGAAATGACTCGGATGTAGATATGGTTGTAACAGACCTGCAGAAGTCGGTACACTGCAACTGAAGTGAGAACACAAGCAGACGTGCTGATTGTCCCGTAGGTGATGTAGGTTTTCAGATAGCAGACGACATATCCGAAAGGAGGCCCGTCTGCGAGAAAAGTGGCGATGTTGAGCGGGAGACTGATGCCGACAAACACTAAATCGGTGATGAAGAAGTTGGTAAGAAGGATGTACAATGTCCTCCTCATTCGCTTCGTGTGCCACACCGTCACCAAGAACATGACGTTGCCCATAGCCGTCACAAGGCACACACAAATCAAGATGGCCACCGAGAAGTTGATGGAAGTTGGGGACAGCAGGTCACTCACCTTGACCACACTACAGTTCACTGACTCACACATGTTGGAATTAATGAGATTCTAGAAAGAAAGAAAATGTGTCACTAATTTCAAATGTCATGTATGCCTGAATAGCCATCATTTCAAGCATATTGTAAGATTTAAATTTCGAGAATAACAAATATTTTTTAAAGCTTGAAATACTATTAACTACAATAGAGATGACAACACTGTTTGGATGATCAACTTCTTTATTTTCGCAGTGGCGACGTTTCGGTATAGATTCTAATACCGTTTTCAAGTATATGGGGAAATGATGGGGTACACTAATTTATATGCAAGATACATGTACATATGATAATGAGATAACAATAACAAAGGTGGGAAAACAATGCGTCAAACGAAGTTTCATGATAAGCTACAATAACATGATGATGAGCTAAAATAACATAAATGAGATTAGTGGGATTACCATGACAATTAGTGAATGTAAGTCAATTAGGCAGAAGCCAAGGAGGTGTGTGTGTGGGGTGGGTGGGGGTGGGGTGGGGTGGGGGTGGGGGATAAATTAGTGGGAAACCAGTGTGAGGAATGTCAGTTAGGCAGGTTAATGAGAAGCCAGAGTTGGTTGAACGGATACTTAATTGTTTGTGGATTAAGTGGTTGTAAGCTGATGGGATGTAATAGCCCTGATCCCTATTAATAGAGGGATAGAAATGGCGTATTTGTAATGCCTCGTCCAATTTCCGCTGAGTGTAATCATGTTTGTAAGTGTTTTGACAGTGTCCCAGTTGATGTTGTGTTGAGGAAATTTGGTGATGTGTTCCGGAATGGCTGGCAAGATTGGGGATTTGTCATGTCATTACGCTGGTAAACAAATCCACAACATCATAACTTAAAATCTTGCCAGGTTCCGTAACAGTCTGGAGTTTATACGGAACCTGGCACCGCTGGATTTGTTTACCAGCGCCCCCATTAATGAAACCCTGCACATTCTCCGCCACCGCGTTGACAGCCTTGATATCCCCCTTGACACTAACCTCTCCCCTAACTCCATCATTCAACTCATTCCTAACTCCATCACCTCAACCTTCTTTACCTGGGGTGATGACCTCTATGGGGAAATCCATGGTCTACCCATGGGCTCCCCTCTCTCTCCCATCCTCTCTGAAATCTACATGACCTCCTTTGAACAGCATGCTCTCAGCACCTCACTAATCAAACCAGCCTGCTGGTTCAGGAAGGTTCATAACACATTTGTAATTCTCCCTCAAAATAACGACCCCACTGCCCTCGTCCAACACCTTAACCAACAGCACCCTCGTATCCAATTCACCATTGAAACTGAAACAACTTCCCTTCCTGGATGTCCTAGTCACTCGCACCATTGACAACACTATCCTCTGCCAACACCTCTGCCAACCGCAAACCCACGCATACTGACCGCTCTCTCAGAACTAAACCCGTTATTATCTCCACTCTTACCCGCCGAGCACTCAACCTATCCTCTGTCACCCCTGAACTTAAACACCTCCGGCATGTCTTCACCCAACTTAACAACTATCCCACTAAACATGTTGACCGTGTCATTAACTACACCCTCCACCCAGTACCCAAACCCGCCACTAGCAAGCCCCATTCGCATCTCACTACCCAACATCGGCAAAACATCGCATCACACTAGTCGCTTACTTCAGCAGCAGGCAGGCATAGACACTTACTTCTCCAGGGCCTCACCTCTCCAAACTATCATTGAGGAAACACACTACAAAACAACAGCCTAAAGGTGTGGTCTACAACATCAGCTGCGACTGTGGCAGCAACTACATTGGTGAAACATCCAGACCACTCAACATACGCATCAAAGAACATAAGACATCCACAAACAATGCAGACACCAAATCAGCCATTTCGGAACACATCACCAAATTTCCTCAACACAACATCAACTGGGACACTACCAAAACACTTACAAACATGATTACACTCAGCGTAAATTGGTCGAGGCATTACAAAAACGCCGTTTTAATCCCTCTATTAATAGGGATCAGGGCTATTACACCCCATCAGCTTTCAACCACCTAATCCACAAATAATTTTCCACTCAACCCACTCTGGCTTCTCATTAACCTGCCTAACTGACATTCCTCACACTGTTTTCCCACTAATTAATCCCCACCACCCCGCCACACACACCTCCTTGGCTTCTGCCTAATTAGTTTACATTCACTCATTGTCATGACAATCCCACTAATCTCATTTATGTTATACAGTACAACCAGAAATTATTGAGAATATATAGATTGTAATTTTTTAATTTTTTTCACTCATTACTCACGTATTAAATGTGAATATTAGCAGAACATAACTCAAGATTCAAAGACAGGTGAACAGTTAGTATTTTGTCAAGTCACCATGGGCAGCAATGCAGGCTTTAATGCGGCGGGGCATACTACTGATAAAAGACGTTAGAAAAACGTAGTCCATGCTGTCCCAATATCGGACCACCTCTTCTTTCATTTCAGCAATATTAGTCAGATTATTCTTATTGACACTTTCCTTCATAAGTCCCCAAACATTTTCTATTGGATTTAGGTCAGGGCTATAGCTTGGCCAATCTAATAATGTCATATTCTGGGTCCGAAACCAGGCCTGTGAATGCTTTGAACGATGTTTTGGGTCGTTGTCCTGCTGGAAAATCCAAAAATTTCCATAGAACACGTGAGCAGATGGAAGTAAATGTCACTCGAGAATATCTGTGTACCGCTCACTGTTCATATTCCCTTCAAATACACAGAGGGGCGTTGCCCCTAACACAGATATGCCACCCCACACGTTAAATTTCGGACTGTACTTTGAGCGCTGATACAAAGGTTTTACAGTTTGTTTGGTCGAGAATTTCAGTGTATTAGGAAACAGCCACACAGAACTTTCATCTGAGAAAAGCACATTGTCCCAGTTAAACTTTCTATGCTGTAAGCACCAGTTCAACCTTCGCTCCTTTTGGTCAAGTTTCATGATCGGTGATAGAATTCCTCGACTTTTCTGCCAACCCATTGCATGCAGCTCAGTTTAATTGTCTCCTTACAGACAGCCACAGTTCCTCTATCAATCATATCCAGCCTTAAGTTTTCTAAACTCCTTCGTTTGTTTTAGAAACAAGAATACCAAGCCGCCTCCTGTCACCGACAGTCAATTTTCTGGGCCTCCCTGCGCCTCCCTGGTGCTCAATGCCATATCCATTTGCAATATTTTTCAAAACACGATAAAAAGTGGACAATGGGATGCCTGTTCTACTTGAAATCACTTTAGCTGATCTGATGTCCTTGTTATAATACTCTAAAATCAACTTCCTCTTCTCCAAATCATCCATACTGAGGATAACTGAAAATGCCGTCTGCTAGCAAGTTAACAAAGGGGGGTAACTCTTCACAAACTAATGAAAAAGGATTAACGGAGTTGTCTCTCTTGAATGAAACCAAGTACTTGATAGCTGGTCAAGGCTGTTTATACTAGAAATCCAATTAAACATATTCCTAAAATTCTCAATAATTTCTGGTCATACTATATTATCCGATCATCATGTTCTTGTAGCTCATTATGTAACTTTCTTTGATGCTTTGTTTTCCCACCTTTGTTATTGTTATCACATGATCATATGTACATGTATTTTGTCTATAAACTAGTGTACCCCATCATTCCCCCATATGCTTGAAAACGGTATAAGAATCTATACCGAAACGTCACCATTGCCAAAATAAAGAAGTTGATCATCATAAAGTTTTGTCATCTCTATACAACCAACTTCTAGAATGCCACTCAAACAAATCCTTAACTCCAATGTTACACTATAAACTTGAAATATCGATAACTCGAAATGTTCCATTAGTTTCTGATGCATTGTTCCCTTCAAATGTCGGCAACTCGGAATACACTCATGAACCATATAATTACCACAGATCTGACATACAACTCATACATTCTTAAACAGAATGCCTGTATATTCTAAGACATATTAAATAATGTCAGTTTTGTTCCACAGACGTTTCTATGGTAACATGTCCTCAACAGTTGCTTTGTGTGAATTGTTTCCATAGCAACAACATTTATTACGAACAAAAGTATCAAACATGTTCAGACACCCACCTAGATATTTGTTTTCCTCTTAATCAAAACATGGATTAATTCTTGAAACGTCTGCCAGAGGAAATTGCTAGATACCACGGCACCATTGACGTCCAACAAAACTTTCCTCTGTCACTCAGTCTGGTTTCACTGAAAAGAAACCAAAATCAATAACCATCCAGATTTTTTATAATTAAGGGGCACTCTTCGACCGTAAATAGGCACATAGGTAAGAGATATGTGATTGAAAATAAGGTGATAAAATCATTCTATGATGGAAGTTCTATACAAATAGCATAACAAATTGGATACATATCTATATCTATATATCTATCTATCTCTCTCTCTATATCTATCTATCTATCTATCTATCTATCTATCTATCTATCTATATATATATATGCGCGTGTGAATTGGTGATTGTGGGTGTGTGGGTGTTTATGTGTGTTTCATTTTACCATTTAAGTAAAGATACCAACTGGACTTCTAGCGGTAAGAGTGAGTGAGTTTAGTTTTAGATTTCAGCAATATTCCAGCAATATCACGGCGAGTGACACCAAAATGAGGGGAATTGAACTCGGGTCTTCGGGGAGATGAACGAACGATTTAACCACCCAGCTGTTCCACCTCTAAAACAACAAGGACTAAAGGGGGATTCCGTATGGAATTCATTGATGTCAGGGAAAAGACCTGGGTCCAAAATACAAGCTCATGATTGTATTTGTTTAAGGAACAAGTACTCTGATTTGCGGCGGCGGTATAGCCTGTTGGGGTGAAACGATTCGGCTGACCGACCAATTGCGCCGTTTCGACCCCAACGTGGGTACAGTATAGGAAAGCCGCTTATTGTGATGCTGCTGGAATAATGATACATGTAGCAGTAGTCTGTACGCACTGACTCACACACACACGTAACTAAATGTCCGCGAATAACATCACACAGCACGAACAATGTCTATGAGCTGGGTCATAACAGTCCCGAGACTTTCATGGAATACGTCATGTGGATTTTCATGTTTTCAACATAAGTCTACCACCCCCAACCCCCTCTCCTCCCCCGAGGTTCACAAGCGTCTCCCAACAGCGATGTTGTCATCGAGACTGGGAAGATGCAGAAGCCACGGAGCCAAATCTGAGGAGGTTCATTATCCTCCTGGAACACCACGCCTTCAGTGGGTTTACCTGGACATTTGGTACCACTTTGTTATTCAGTGCGTGAGCATATAGACATGATAGTGGCCATCAACTGTCATACCTTTCTGGCGTAACTTCACGTGTATCATTCCGCAGGAATCCCGGTACATCGAAGTCATGTCCTGGTGTTGGAACATATTCTGTCTTCTTGGAAGGAAGAGACGTTAGTGGCTATTGGGGTAAGCCCTTTCAAGTGGAGATACCGGATAACTACAATGAATACATAGTCACTTCGGTGCTTGCAGAATTGTGCTGTCTAGTTCTGTGTTGGTTTCAAACACTGCCTGTAAGTATAGGCAGTATTGTCCGCCATAGTTACTGTTACGGCCTGTGCCATACATTCCCCGGTCGAGTGACATTCCAGCAGCTCTGGCCCGTCAAGTCTCTTGAAAGAGCAATATTCCAGCAGCTCTGCCCGTCATGTCTTTTGAAGGAGCGATATTCCAGGAGCTCTGGTCTGTCACGTCTTTTGAAGGAGCGATATTCCAGCAGCTCCGGCCCGTCATGTCTTTTGAAGGAGCGATTTTGCAGCAGTTCTGGTCTGTCATGTCTTTTGAAGGAGCGATATTCCAGCAGCTCCAATCCGTCATGTCTCTTGAAAGAGCGATTTTGCAGCAGTTCTGGCCCGTCATGTCTCTTGAAGGAGCAATATTCAAACAGCTCTGACCCGTCATGTCTTTTGAAGGAGCGATATTCCAGCAGCTCTGGTCTGTCATGTCTTTTGAAGGAGCGATATTCCAGCAGCTCCGACCCGTCATGTCTCTTGAAAGAGCGATATTCCAGCAGTTCTGGACCGTCATGTCTTTTGAAGGAGCGATATTCCAGCAGCTCCAACCCGTCATGTCTCTTGAAAGAGCGTTTTGCAGCAGTTCTGGCCCGTCATGTCTCTTGAAGGAGCAATATTCCAGCAGCTCTGGTCTGTCATGTCTTTTGAAGGAGCGATATTCCAGCAGCTCTGGTCTGTCATGTCTTTTGAAGGAGCGATATTCCAGCAGCTCCGACCCGTCATGTCTCTTGAAAGAGCGATATTGCAGCAGTTCTGGCCCGTCATGTCTCTTGAAGGAGCAATATTCAAACAGCTCAGACCCGTCATGTCTTTTGAAGGAGCGATATCCCAGCAGCTCTGGTCTGTCATGTCTTTTGAAGGAGCGATATTCCAGCAGCTCCAACCCGTCATGTCTCTTGAAAGAGCGATTTTGCAGCAGTTCTGGCCCGTCATGTCTCTTGAAGGAGCAATATTCAAACAGCTCTGACCCGTCATGTCTTTTGAAGGATATTCCAGCAGCGGCAGCTCTGGTCTGTCATGTCTTTTGAAGGAGCGATATTCCAGCAGCTCCGACCCGTCATGTCTCTTGAAAGAGCGATATTGCAGCAGTTCTGGCCCGTCATGTCTCTTGAAGGAGCAATATTCAAACAGCTCAGACCCGTCATGTCTTTTGAAGGAGCGATATTCCAGCAGCTCTGGCATGTCATGTCTTTTGAAGGAGCGATATTCCAGCAGCTCTGGTCTGTCATGTCTTTTGAAGGAGCGATATTCCAGCAGCTCCAACCCGTCATGTCTCTTGAAAGAGCGATTTTGCAGCAGTTCTGGCCCGTCATGTCTCTTGAAGGAGCAATATTCAAACAGCTCTGACCCGTCATGTCTTTTGAAGGAGCGATATTCCAGCAGCTCTGGTCTGTCATGTCTTTTGAAGGAGCGATATTCCAGCAGCTCCGACCCGTCATGTCTCTTGAAAGAGCGATATTGCAACAGTTCTGGCCCGTCATGTCTCTTGAAGGAGCAATATTCAAACAGCTCAGACCCGTCATGTCTTTTGAAGGAGCGATATTCCAGCAGCTCTGGCATGTCATGTCTTTTGAAGGAGCGATATTCCAGCAGCTCTGGTCTGTCATGTCTTTTGAAGGAGCGATATTCCAGCAGCTCTGCCCGTCATCTCTTTTGAAGGAGCGATATTCCAGCAGCTCTGGCCCGTGAAGTCTTTTGAAAGAGCAATATTCCAACAGCTCTGACCCATCATGTCTTTTGAAAGAGCGATATTCCAGCAGCTCTGGTCTGTCAAGTCTTTTGAAAGAGTGATATTCCAGCAGCTCTGGCCCGTCAAGTCTTTTGAAAGAGCGATATTCCAGCAGCTCTGTCCAGTCATGTCTTTTGAAGGAGCGACGTGTGTAACAGGGACATATGACTGAGATTAGTCGTTGAACATCAGAAGACCATAGATTTTGTAAGGTGATTAGCCAAAGAGTCATGTACGTCATGTACCATGAAACGCCAAATTCATTACTATCGCGCGAATCCGCCTATATTCACAGACAATCATCGAGGCATACTCCCAATTACACGTCCCAAGTTCTTCATTCCACCAGGAGCATGTGTTTATATATCGCCATCAAAATAGGCATGATGCCAAGTGTTAGCAAACAGGAAAGCGTATCCTGCTCCACCCGTGACACCAACCATAAACATAAACAAAAGCTAGTCAGTTTTTCACTTGTGAAAATTGGGGAACTAGTTGATTCATTTCGGTACTCAAGAGGCAACTGGTATATAGTACATGGAAGACATTATAATACATTAACAGTTATAGTGTAACAGTTTATCCATGTAACATTGCATAACAAATAAACATGGACAGATTCTGCAGTATGTCATGGTTTGTACTTCTCAGCAAAAATGTGAATTTAGTTCTTTTCGGATAGACTTAAGAAATATTGTTTGATGTGTCGTGTCTATTTCGTAATGTTGTGAAACATAGACATATGGGGAAGAAGTGGTAGCATCTTCTACTGCATTCAACACATCTGGAAAATTCTGAGCTAGCTTTTGCCACCTATATATGCCCCTTCTCAAATAGTAAGTTATGCGATGAACGAAAACGTGCCAAGCTTAACCTAAATTTTCTTATGTTCACCTCTGCGAAATAAGCTCAATACATATATAGCTTTAAACATTGAACAATCATTCCATTTACTTGGTGCAGACAAAGGTTTTCTGACAAAGGTTATAGATAAAGTCAACATGACATTCTGCACTTTGTTTTGCCATGGATAGCCGTATCCAACCTTAAAAAATAAATCATTTACACTTGTTTCGGGAACGCGTGGTACACGTTAAATAAGGAATTGCATCGGACATCATTTTTGTAACTGAAGTGTCAACTTTATTGAGGCCTTGGATGTTGTAACCTTGATCGAACAACGAATGAGAAGAAGTAGTATGACGCTCTTTTAAATCTTGGAAAAAAGAGCACGCTCGAAAGAAGTTGATTGAAGTTGTGAAACATCAAAGACTGGAGCTGTTAGAATACTACTCGACATGAAGGGAATTGATTGTTGGAAAGTTGAAATCATCCCTTTTGTCATACAGCCTCGTGGAGAGTTTTTCATAATACTGAATGTTTATGCATATATCTAAACATGAAACACATGAGGTGGGTACATCAATAGGAGGGGATAGGCTATCTCACAATTGTTAACAGCATTAGATCATCGATTTTCCTGAAACCTAAGCAAAATTTCTTGGCCAAATTACCATGTCTTCATTCATATGATAAAGAAACACCTCGGCAAGGAGGGGATCACAATTGGCGCGTGTACTGGGGATAGCTATTGGTGATCTAAACGTTTCACACCACATTCCACATTGAAGAACACGACCCATTACACAACATGTCTTGTTCATTTATTGCATAAAACAGGAGCACTATTTTTCATATTTCTTTTTTTTGAAATATCTATGTAGAAATGGAGAGGAACAAAAATAAAAAAATGGGTCTGTGAATACTTACATTTTAGGCAAACCGTGTGAATGGCGCATGCTATGGGAACTGCTGGCGTCAACACCGATTTTCAGAGTGAGTGAGTGAGTTTAGTTTTACGCCGCACTCAGCAATATCCCAGCTATATGGCGGCGGTCTGTAAATAATCGAGTCTGGACCAGACAATCCAGTGATCAGTAG